CTTCCCTTCCCTTCCCTTCCCTTCCCTTCCCTTCCCTTCCTTTCCCTTCTCTTCCCTTTCCTTCCTTTTCTTATTTTTAAACAAAACAGGTCTCTATAAAAAGATTTTATGTCAAAAATATTTTTATGTATACAAATATTTTTTAAATTTATATATATTCTAATCCATTTTATTGAGGTCTGATTGACAGACAAAAAACTATACATATTAATGTATGCAACTTGATGAGTTTGGAGATAAGTATACATCTGTGGAACATCATGATGCCTATAGTTAAGAAAAATTTGTGAAAGGAATAGATCTGATGTTCTGTGTTCTCATCTCCACCACACACACACACATATAATAATGATAAATAAAGAGGGCAGGAGGCAACTACTTTTGGAGATAATGGATATATTTATATTTTTATAACTTTGATTTTATGCTATAGGCATGTAACTCACAAACTAAGGAGTAACAACTTAAGTATATAGTTAGAGATATGTTTCAGATGACCTCGATTAACACAATTCTGCCTTCCAAAGAAAACTATTTCTAAGCTATACTTTCTAAAAAGTATTCCATTATGTCTTTATTTTTTGAGAACATTAAAAATTTGGCCTGTTTAATGTCTCCTTCTAAAAAAAACAATATAGGCTGAGACTGAGAGATAATTGGTTTTCTTGAAGAATACCTTGATCTCTGGTTAGACTGAAACAACAGGACTTATCTCCCCACAGCAGCTTTCCTTAGATGGGCGAAGAAATGTAATTGACATATAGTGCGAGATGGTTCTGGCCTGTGTCATTTCCCACCTTCCCCTCAGGAAACATTTCTGGTTGTTTGACTTAGGATTTGTCCTTTTTTGGCGGGGAAGAGAATTCAGAATATTTTGTGTGAACAGGGTTAGGGAAACAGATGAAAAAACAGCACTTGAGGGAGACTCATGAGCCTCTGTGTGCTGTGGGGAGTCTTGGAGAAACAAATAGGTGATAGTTTTCTAAGCATAGACCGGGAAGAGGTAACATCATTCATTTTAACCCCTAAATGACCTTAAAGAGATTTTTTTTTTTAAACTTCAAAATCCTGAATTTGATATACAGGTTGATTTGAATTTTGTTTGCTCTTAAGTGATAAGGCATTCATAGTTAATCTAATAAGAACACTGTGTCCTGAACCTTATTGGGTCTTTTCCAATCATTGATTAGCATCCTGTTTATTTTTAATCAAGACATCTATTGCCACTTAGGGAATAGGGGGAAAACCTTGAGTACTAGAGTTAGTAATTGTTAACTGTTTCTGGTATGACATTAAGAAAGTCAGTACAGTTAGAAATCATAGATTATGACTTTACAACTGATCCAATTTGTTTTCCCATCCATTGTTTTAATATTTTATACCTATACTAGAGGCTCGGCACACAATTAAATTGCGTGCATGTAGGGTCCCCTAGGCCTAGCCTGCCATCAGTGTCTGCACTACTGGCACCCCACAAAGCTCTGCCGATGCTGCTGGCATCCCAGGGGAGAGGGCAGGCCCCAGACCCTGCTGCCACCACCACCGAGGGCCTTGTGAACTCATTTGTGCCTGGCTGATCCCCATTCCTCTTTTCCCCATGTGGAGTGTCTGAGCCATCAGCTGCTCCAAACCCTTTGGTGCTTTCCCTTAGTAACAGCTTTTACCTTCTGCCTCAATTCCTCTTCCAGCTCGTGCCCTTCCCCTACGTGTTGCCTCCCTCCGCTGCCTGCCGTGTGCACTCCTGCCTCCCCACCCAGCACCTCTGCTCACCACCTGGGACCTGCGCTATGCTCAGGCCCCTGCCAACCCGGCTGTGGGGCCCTGCCCATCGGCTGCCTGCCTTGCTGCAATTAGAGCCTATGGGTCACAGGACTGAGTGGTGCTCCATGCACCTCCTAGTGATTTGGTTGTTACAGTGTTACGACCACTGAGTTTTTATTATATAGATATTGAGACATAAGGAACTGTAGGGCTATGTAGTAAATGCTGAATATGTAATTTGTTTTGCCAAAAAATTCTGCTTCTCATAGGGGAGAGTGTATTTACAATTATTTCTATGGCGGAATCTGTATATCCTATATAACAAAGAGGTAATATGCAAATTGACTGTCATGCCCTTGCACAAATGGCTGCCCACATGTGGTCACAAGGTGGCTGCCACAAGGTGGTGGTCAGGAGTCGGCAGTTGTGGGCAATCAGGCCAGCAGGGGAGGGCAGTTAGGGGTGACCAGGTTGGCAGGGGATGGAAGTTGGGGGCAATCAGGTTGGCAAGGGAGCAGTTAGTATTGATCAGGCTGGCAGGGGAGTGGTTAGGGGATGATCAGGCTGGCAGGCAGAAGCAGTTAGGGGCAATCAGGCAGGCAGGCAGGCAGGCAAGCGGTTGGGAGCCAGCAGTCCAGGATTATGAGAGGGATGTCTGACTGCTGGCCTGTGGGATTGGGCCTAAATGAGCAGTTGGACATCCCCTGAGAGGTCCCAGATTGAAGTGGGTGGAGGCTGGGCTGAGGGACATCGCCCCTCCACCCCCCAGTACATGAATTTCGTGCACCGGGCCTCTAGTATATATAAAAGCCTAATCTTTCAACTGTCTGACCAGTAGCTATGACTCTCACTGACCACCAGGGGGCAGACACTCAACCATTCAACGCAGGAGCTGCCAAGTGACAGCAACTTTGCAGAGTGCCCTCTCACACTTCGGGAACCCTCGGGGGATATTGGACTGCCTGTTTTGGCCCAATCCCCACAGGCCAGGCTGAGAGACCCCCACCTACTGGAGGGACCCTGCTTACTCTGCAGATGCCCTTTGAGTCCCGGCGCTGTCCCAAGTGTAGCCAGATGGGGAGGGACTTGGGAAGTTGGCTCTAGGGCATATCCAGCTCGTCTCACCCAGTCCCACCTCACTGGCCATCTTCTAATTAATTTCCTTTCAATGTGAATGAATCTGTGCACTGGCTGGGCCTCTAGTTAATTATAATTCATTGTACTCTTTTAAAATGGTAAGAACTTTAGGGTTTTGCTTTTATTTAATCAGAACATGAAATTTCTTGATATGATATAAACATGAATGTGCAGGAAGATTATTTTTCACAGTTATTTTACCTCTTTAAAAGATATTCTAAATAAAACAATCTAGTGGACGGACTTTAGTTATATTTTACTTTTTAGTGTAGAAGTATTATTTCCTATACTTATGCTATCTGTGGAGACAAATTTTATTTTTGTATAATTTCAATGAACTTCTGATAGCTGTAGTTATAAACTTCATGTCTCTCACTTTCCCTCTCTCCCTTCCTCCCTCCCTCCCTCCCCACCTCCCACTCCCCCTGCTTTCCACTTCTCTCTCTCCCTACTCCATTCTACCACATAACTACTCACTTCTGAGACAGTTCTGGTGTAATGTAATGGACTAGGCACTGGGCTCGGTTTCAGAGATGTAAGTTTGAGTTTTGCTCTGCAGTATACAAGCTCTGAGGACTTTGACAGATTACTTTACTTCTTAGGACCTTAATTCATTTATAAAATGAAGGAAATAATCATCATGGTTGCAAAAGGATAAATGAAATATTGTACATGAAGAAACACAACTAATACACCTTATTGAAAATTTTTTTATTGGAATAAAATATATATAAAAGTTACCATTTCAACCATTTTAAGTATACCATGTTAGCATTAAGTATATTTACAGTGTTGTGCAACCATCACATTCTTCATCTCCAGAACAGACAGAAACTAAACACTCAGAAACTCTGTATTCACTTAATAATTACTCTCTACTTCTTCCTCTCCCCAGTTGTTGGTAACCACTGTTCTACTTTCTATTTCTATGAATTTGACTGTTTTAGGTACTTCCTATAAATGGAGTCATATATTATTTGCTCTTTTGTCTCTGGCTAATTTCACTTAGCATAATGTCTTCAAAGTTAATGTGTCAGAATTTCAGTGCTTTTCAAGACTGAATAATATTTCATTTTATGTTTATACTAGAGGCCCAGTGCACGAATTTGTGCACCAGTGGGGTCCCTTAGCTTGGCTGGTGGGAATGGGCCAAAACTGGCTCTCTGACATCCTCTGAGGGATCCTGGATTGTGAGAGGGCACAGGCCAGACTGAGGTACCCCACTGGTGCACGATCAGGGCCAGAGAATGACGCGAGAGTTTGGTCAGCTTGGGAGGGACTGTGGGAGGGCTTCAGTGCATGTTCGGCCTGTCTCGCTCAGTCCCGATCAGCCAGACTCCAGCAGCAAGCTAACCTACCAAAGCGTCTGCCCCCTGGTGGTCAGTCAATGTCATAGTGACTGGTCAACAGAAGTTGGTGCCCTCTGATGGTCAGTGAACATCATAGAGAGTGGTTGAGCAGCCTTAGTATATCATTAGCATATTATGCTTTGATTGGTTGAATGGATGTCTGGATGACCAGACACTTAGCATATTAAGCTTTTATTATATAGGTTCATATTTGGTTTTTCCATTTACTCCTTGGTGGACATTTGGATTATTTCCATCTTTTAGCTAATGTGAAAAATGCTGCTGTGAACATTTGTGTGCAAGTATCTGTTTGAATCCCCTTTTTTAGTTCTTTAAGGTTTACACCTAGGAGCAGAATTGCTAGATCATGTGGTGATTCTTTAACTTTTTGGATGACATTCTACTTTTAAGTATTTTTGGAATCTATTGAATTGATTGTAGTGATGTGACTCCTAAATGGAGTGTTTGCTCAGGGTGGTCATTTAATGCCCATAGTTTATGTGACGTGAGACAGGACTGTGAGATCACCTTCAATTTCAGGACTTCAGGAGCAACTTAACCAGGGCGGCAAGCTTTCTAGCCCATGGTTCTCAAAATGTATTCACTGTAGGCTTAGAGATCATTGAGGGTGAAGATTTGCTCTGTTGATGCCCAAATGTGTTGGTTAAGCAATAGCTGTATCAGTGGATATATTTTCTGCTTTGCATTTTTCTGCAGGGATTTGAGAAGACGGAAGAGGCTGACGACAGGCTGATGGGCTCAGTTGGTAGGCTGCATTATCTCACCATGACTGCCGAAAACCCTACGCCTGGAGACCTGGCTCTGGCTCCTCTTGTCACTTGCAAACTCTGCCTGTGTGAACAGTCTTTGGACAAGATGACCACACTCCAGGAATGCCAGTGCATCTTTTGCACAGCTGTAAGTTTTCCTTGATGCTTTCATCATGAGGATATACAAAGGGAAGAACTGTAAAGTTACAGGATATATTTCTGTGGCTTACAGAGAAGCCAGGATGGCTACAATATGGCCCTATTTTGGAGAACATTCCACATTTGGATCTGTTTCCAAATAGTACCTTGAATGGTAAATTCTGTATTTATTGGTTTTTAGGAAGTATGTAATATGAGTGTGAAATTTAATTATTTGTTGAGTAGACAGAGTTATTCTATTCTTCAAATTCTGGCTAAGAAACAAAAGAGAGGCATTTTTAACATGCCTCAGCTAACTATCATCTGGAAGAAGCTCATGGGGTATTTTGAGTGATGGAGAAATCAGGTAGTAATTTACTGACTTTTCTTTCATATACTTGCTTGAGCATCTCTTACAAAGCACATGGTATGCACGGTTTTACTTTGTCATATCTACTCTTTTTTTATTTTCTATTTTCATAATTTGCCAAAGGCTGTTTATCATAATAGAGAAATGCTATAAAAGTCCAGGTGTGGGCTTGTCCCTTTTAGTCTGACCCTTGGTATCAATGCCCATGACCTTTATTGTACGTTTCACTGAAGGTTGGTTAATTAAGGTATAAAGCTAGGAAACAGACTGATGCATGCAAAGTGACTATTAGAAGTATGAGCCCAGGTAAGTTTACTCAAATTTTCATTTATTTAAATATTTTTTTGAGTTTCTGCTGTGTGCCAGGCACTCTGCTGAATGTTGGGAATACAAAAAGTGAATAAGATACTTTCCAAGGGAAGATGGACACATTGAAGGAACTCTGCTAGAGTCTGGTGAGATCAGGGATGGTGGAACATAACACACCACCTCACCCCCTCGGGGGGCTTCCAGTTAGCAGTGATCTTTAAGCTGAGGCTTTAACATGAGATTTCAAACCTGATAAATCTGATGCCCATGGACCACGTCTGGCCTCAATACTCTTTTTTTTTTAATTGGGAAATTTAAGACAACAAATTTTATAAATTTTTCATGAAAAAGTAGTAAGATATAACTACTCTGTGCCTGTGTTCATAGGTCCAGAAATAGATGATTTTCCCTCCATTTATGTACATGTCTTTCTCCAGTATGTATTTGAATTAACTGTACTTTCAAACTAAGGATGGATTGGTGAAGAGTCAGATGAGAAGTGTGCTGGCATCTCAGCATGGCACAGGCGAGGGTCTGATGCCTTACGTTAGTATTTACCTTTATCTTTGCTTTGGTAGGCCTTGTTTGGTCAGGCTGTTAATATTTATTATGCAGTCAGTACTATAATCACCCAGCAAATGAGGGTTTAATGCCCTGACTTGTGAAGGGAATTGAATTGATTAGTTACAGTGATCAGTGGTTTAATCAAGGGGAAAAAAAGAAAGGAATCATTGAGGAAGTAGAATCATTTTAAAAGAGGAATGTTTATTATTAATGTTTACTCAGCATTCTTTTTTTTTTTTAACAAATAAGTTATGGTAAAATAAAACTTATTCCACATTTCTTCATTAATGTAATCAACTAGGCACATTTTCAAGCTAGTTCATATTAATTTTCTTAAAACATTTTTTATTTTCATTTTTAAAAAAATATATTTTTATTGATTTTTTTTTTACAGAGAAGAGGGAGAGGGATAGAGAGTTAGAAACATTGATGAGAGAGAAACATCGATCAGCTGCCTCCTGCACACCCCCTACTAGGGATGTGCCCACAACCAAGGTACATGCCCTGGCCCAGAATCGAACCCGGGATCTTTAAGTCCGCAGGTGGGTGCTCTATCCACTGAGTCAAACCGGTTAGGGCAAAATATTTTTTAAATTGAGGATTACAGTAAGGAGAAGAAGCTTCAGTATGACCTTTAGTAAAAAGGAAAGGTGTTGAAATCCTTTTCTTATGTTTTGAACTCCAGAATCCAAAGATGGCTAAGAATGGTATTGTTTGCTCATTCATTCAACAGAAATTTAGTGAGCAGCATCCCGGATGCCAGGAACTCTTCTAGGCACCAAGATTTATCAGTTAAAGAAACAAAACCTGGCATTGATCTTTGCTCTTACCAAAGCAAGATATACAATAGACAATAAACATAATGAATAGGTAAGTTACAGTATTGGGTGATAAGGACTTATAAAAAAATTTGAACAAGAGGTGAGGAGTGAGGGGGTGTTACAGTTCAGGAGAAGGCCTGACTAAGTGATGTTTGTGCTGGATCTCTCTGATCTTGTCAGTGAGTATTGCTTTATAGGAAGTGAGGAAATGACCTTGTCATGTCAGGGCAGATTTAGTTTCCTTTGGTCTTGCTTTGTGTCTGAATGCTGTGCCTCAGAGTGATTATTTCTCTGACTTTTTCACATATGTTTCTGACCCTTGCTAATCCTTGAAACAAATGAGTCAGAAGCAACATTTGGTTCAAGGCAGGATGGAAAATTTTGACCAAGTACTACTGATGTTTAAGAGCAGGATATGGAATTCAGTTTTTGCTATGAGATGTAATAGTATGGAATTCAAGATTGTATATCAACGTTGGGTAAAGCATAAACAAGCAAAGATTGCTATGTCATGTTCACCAGAAGCTGGCACTGACATACTGTCTCAGTAGGTCTTAGTCCCCAGTTAAGAACAGCACAACCACTTTTCCTTTCTCCTTCAGCAGTTCAGAGGTGGGAGTTAGTGCTATTAGATTATGTCATCTAGGTTCATACTTCCTTATTGCTGGGGAGTGTTCAAAAGCAGAAAGTCAGTGGCTTGGTATTTTTGGTATCCCTCCAACTTTGGAACTTCTTGTACCTATAAACATTAACCTTACCTGGCTTCCTGATCCCCCATTTCCTATGATCTGCCGAATCTATAAGCTGCATGTGTTTGACTACATTAGAACCTGTAAATTTGCAATTGATGCCAAACCCACTTGAAATACTAATTCCAACTTTTTATTGTTGGAGTTTTTCTTTTTCTTTCTTTCTTTCTTTCTTTCTTTCTTTTTTAATATTTAAAAATGTGTCTAATCCAGATATTAATTTGCACTCAAATTAAAGCTATCAAGTGTGTTTTGTATTTTCAGGGCTGAAAAGAAATTGGTGACTTTTTTTTTATTATGCCATATACCACTAATTCCCAACTTTAAACGTGGTATGATGACATCTCCCAAATACTGGCTGAGAAAGACCATGTATTTAAAAAGGGTTTGCTCAGAGAGCCCCTCTGTCCCCTTCATCAGGGAAATGTCTGAATGTAATAGTGTCCCAATAATTCCATAAGGGACGTATGCATAGCTGACCTAGGGTGCCCCAGCCAGAAATCTTACACGTACGACCCAAGGTACTTAATTAATAATTCCACCGAGCATAAATTACACAAGAGACAAACATGCAATGCACGAATCACACACGGTTTATTTACCAGAGTCCTGTGGGTTCCAGACCTCGGCAGGCCACCTGGGGATCCGCACTGACACACACACACAGTTCACGGAGAAAGTTGCAGCAGCAGCTTGGCTTGAGTTGAGGCCTCTCACGATGGCTCACAGTTCGAGGCTCAGGGTTCAGGGCTTGAGGCTCAGGCAGAGCTTTTGGTTGGTGCAGGCAGGGGAAGTGGAGAGCGACCCTCTGTGGAGGAGCAGAAGGACGTCTCTGATCTTCTGTGGAGTTTCCTCTTTTTATGTGTCTTCAGTGCTCAGATGTGTCTTCAGTGTGTCTTATCAGTGGGTCCCAGGAGTCCTGCTATCTTGTCTTACATGTGGGGTACAGATCACTTTATTTTCTACACATAGGCCACTCAAGGGTGCTTATCAGTTTGTTTACATTACATTCCACACTTTTAGATATCACACTTCAATTCCACACTTCAATACTTATTCAGTATTGTATTTATCCTTATTACTATTATGATAACAAATGGTCCTCCTGCTAGATATGGTAGTCTACTTACATATTTTCCTAGATTTAATCAAGCTCCTTATATATTCTATGCTAGTCCTGTTTCCCTGAGATGTATCCCTGGACATTTGCTGTGAGGCTAAATTCTTCCTGTTTCCAAGATCAGTGTGCTCCGGGAGTGTAGAAGGGACAGTTGTGGAGGGTCTGACCTGACCACTGGATGCCAGCCAGCTCATTCCCTTTCTTTAGGAAGATCCGACCTTTAAACAGGCATCCCTAACCCGAGTGTTCCATGGCCCTCCAGCTCTGTGACACTGAGGTGCTTCTAGGAGAAAGTGTTTCATATTCAAATCAATCTGGACAATGGTATGTGTGCTACACCTCCCTTGGAGGGACCTACTGTATATTTGCATTTTAGAGACTCTGAAATCTTGTGGATAGGAGGAAAGCAAGGGTTCCCTGTTTAACTCCTTTCAGAGCATTTCCATTAGATCGTACCACCTTTTTTTTTTTTTTTTTTTTTTTAGTGGAATACCTATTAACTTCCCTACCACTGGAGCTCTGAAGAATGCTGCTTTAAATTATTCTTGATTTAAATGACATCTAGAGAAAGGAATGTGACAAACATGTAAATAACCCATCAATATAGCGAGTTTCTTTTTAAAGGAAACTTAACCATGTTCTATTTGCGAAGATGGTTTTTGTCAAACTGTTTGCTTAGCGCTAATACACAAAAGAAAGTGTAGCATAAAACGCGGGAAGCTGAATTTATAGGACAAAAATGGGCATAGCTCTCACTAGCAGGTCTGACGTTACCGGGCATAGGTGTATTATGGAGCCAAAGAAATTGGTATTTGGGAGTTATGGAGAGAGGTGTTGCAAAATCATTTGTTTTTATGATTGAAGGTTTTTGTAATTTCTGAGGTATGTTATTGTACTAACTAAGGATATGCAAAATATCTCCCTCCCTCCCTTTCCTCCTCCCTCCCTCTCTTCCTTCCTTCTTCCCTCCTACACCACACATAAACTCTCTCTTTATCACCCCTGTGGATTTAAATAACCCAAATATGAAAATTCAAAAAATTCCTCTTTTGGCATCTGCAACACACTTTTTCAGGT